TTACCTGTTATAGTCATGCCTCTTATACAGTGATGGGCATTTCTATCTGTGTTCTTCACTTCTAGGAAGTATGAAGTCACTTCTAATATTCTGGTCATCCAGCTTTAGATAATACTACTTTATAAATGTTGTTGATTTTTAAAATCCTCTTTTATTTGTGTCTCTTTTTGTTTTAAAATTAAATCTAAAGCCATACTGATCTTTGTTGATTGTTCTAAACTGAAGATTTTGAAGTACTTAAATGGTAAAACTTCACACCTATTAGTGAGAGAGCACTGCAAGGTCAGTCTTTTTTTTTTTTTTTTTTTTTTTTTTTTAGGGGAAGAGAAAGCCCTGAAAACAAAAATCCATAGTCTGAGAGCAGCATAGAATAAAATTCTTAAGGAAAAAAAGCAACTGTCTCAGAAGCAAAGAGTTGTTGCCCAGAATTTTCACATATTAATATTCAAAGAGTTTCATGCACATAAGCCACATAAATGTTATTAGAAAGAACCATAGAGAAACTGAGACAGGACTGTGATAGGATGACCCCACCACCACCCTTGTCACAGTGCTGTGGGAGGAGGCTGCTTCAGTTACTTTACTCAACAATTCATGAGGCCCAATAGAACTAGTTATTCCTTACTGAAAATAGCTGACCATCAATGTGAGGACTTCATATTCAATTGTCTACAATGTATGCTTTTTAAACTATGTTTTAATAAGGAAGGTGCTAATTAGATAGCTTATTCTCTCTGACAATTTGCAATCTAAAAATATGAAAAATGATAAATAACCTTTAAAATTTAAAAAGTTAATATTTTAACTTAAATGTAATAAGAGGATGGATTAAGGCAAGAGGGGAAAATGTGAAAAGGTAAATGGATAATAGTTTTAGTATATATTAGTAATTCTTTAAAGAATAATTAGATACTCTTTCCTAATATTTTCATTAAAGAAGACATATATTCCCACCATTTTTTAAAATAAGAAACTTTCTGCCACATTAAGAAATAAGCTAAAATGTTTATACTTATTTGTCCTTTATAATAGTAATGTTAATATAGTTAGTCCTAACAGTAGCTACATGTCTGGACAAAAAAAGTTCATATTTCTTTTATTTTTTAAAAATATGTAAACACATTGAAGAAAATTTGGCAAATAAAGAAGAAAAATATATCACCAATAGTACCATAAAACCAGGGTAAATCCCATAGGTATGTTGGTGTAACATATAGCCTTTTTACTCTGCATTTGTGTTTGCATAACTACTACTAATCTTGCCTGTTATTAATAATATATAATTATGTCAGCTGTAATTGCTCAATAGAAGGTATATTTTTAAAGAATAAATCTTCTTGAAGATTCACCTAAAATTTAAAATAAGACTAAGATATTTTCAGATATGAAAGATAAATTTCTTGACTCACTGCTTTTTTTTGTTAAATCTTTTCTGAGCATCTGAATCTACATATATCAATCTTTTATTTCATAAGCATGATAATTAATTGAACCAAATTGGAGTTTAAAAATGACCTCTATGAAATTTCTCCTATGGGAAGTTTATTATTAAATGTTGTCAGAATTTTGTACATTTTGGTTACTACTGCTTTTTTTAGAGTAGAGAAATACAGGTGGAAAAAGAGAGAAAGAAGTAAGGTGGGAAGCACTGCCTGCAATGGCACCCCTGTATACATTTTCTCCAAACACCACACAAACTTGACTCCTAGCTCTGCTCCATACTTCTAGTGGTCTATTTGTATATTTGCCCGAGGCAGAGTCTTCTAGAACAGAACAATGTTTTACTCTATTCTGCTTCCCCAACATCTGGTCAAATTTCTAGCACATAGTAAGCACTTAATGTAACACTCAGTGACTAAAGAGAGAGGAAAATATGCACATACACTGAGCACAAGAGAGGACAAAATTATATCAGGATGTTTTTGGCTGTAAGTTTCAGAATATCAACTACAAGTGGCTCAAACAATAAGGACATTTTTTATTTCACATGACACAAAGTTCAGAGTCAGGGCAACTCCAAGACTGGTTATGCAGCTGAACAGTGTCATGGAGGACCCAGATGTTTTTCATTTTTGTACTCAGCCATCCTCAGCATATTGGTAATTTCTTTCATTATAGTTGCAAGATGGATGTAGGAGTTCCAGATGTCATTTGAAGAAATGGCCATGTCCAGCAAAGAGGCAGTGTTTCCTCTTGTGTATCTCTGTTTATGACTGAGGAAAACTTCTTACAGATGCATTTAGCTAATTTCTACTCAGGCCCCATTGGCCAGGATTCATTCACAAGCCCATGCCCTGGCTGACAAAGGCTGTTGTGTAGACACGAGTCACTGGCACTGAAATGCCAAAGGAGGTAATAGTGGGGAAGAGGATATGCCATAGGAGAAAGAGTACAGTGACAGGAGGCAGGTTAAAAAAACCTGTATTTAGTTTAGTATAGTAAGGCATGCATTATGCAGATGCCAGTCTTATAGAATCATATAAATACAGAGATGTAAAGCACAGGAAATCACAAGTGCAAAATCATGAGGCCCAATCCAGGTCCTTGAATGCTTCATTACCTTCATGGAAAATCTTTCTCCAGTAGCTATCCTCAGCCTTCTCCACATTTAACATCACTACTCTAGTGGGAACAGAAAACAGCTGTGTTAACAAGTCAGAAGAACCGTTTGCTTTATTATTCAAATTGTAGAGTTCAGGGAAAAGAGGATGACACTCTGTTTTTCAGGAAAACTATAAAATGTGTGGGGATTACAAAGATAATGGATTTTTTTAAAGAATCTTACATTTTTATTAGTAGTTCTTTTAAATAGTTGTAGTTTACTGCATATTCTTGACTCAGAAACTATGTATAAAAGTTATCCAGGGTTGTCCAACCTGCAGCCCATGGGCCGAATGTATCCCAGGATAGCTATGAATGTGTCCAACACAAAATCATAAATTTACTTAAAACATTATGAGATTTTTTTTTGTGGCTACATGTCACCGCATATTTAACGTGTGGTCCAAGACAACTCTTCTTCTTCTAGTGTGGCCCAGAGATGCCAAAAGGTTGTACATCTCTCTCTCAAAATAAAATGGTCAGTCCACGTCCTTGCTGGTGTGGCTCAGTGGCTTGAGCACCACCCTGAGAACCAAAAGGTTGCCTGTTTGATTCCTAGACAGTGCACAGGCCTGGGTTTCCAGCCAGGTCCCCAGTAGGGGGCACGTGAGAGGCAACTGAATGCTGTCCCACAGCAGTATTTCTTTCCTTCTCTGCTTCCCTCCCTCTCTCTCTAAAAATAAATAAAATATAAAAAAATATTCAGTCCATTATATATACGCTAGGTGCCATTAAATATGTACATTTAAAGTTGATATTGTTGTACATTACCTGTATAATTTGGACTGAATTGAATTAATATGTTAATAATTAACAAAATATGAAAATTATATCTAGAAATTACATATAATATCACACTTCGTTTCTTTCCATTTCCTCAGGTGGGGTGGGGTGGGGTGGGATGGGAGAGAGAGAGAGAAATAGCAATCACTTGCTTCACCTGCTGTCTTGTTGGTCTTTAGGCAGCTGCAGCAGAATCACAGAGATGTTTCTGAGGAATGTTACAGTGCTAGGTTGATATCCTAATCTGTTGCTGCTGTTGACTTTTTTTTCCCAAAAACCATTTTTATCTATCTGCTTTTGGTTCTTCATTACATATTAACTTCCCACTGTATTTCATATTTCATACTAGATTTTTAAAGTTGAAACATCTGCTAATCAATGTAGTATTAATTTGTAGAAGCCTGTCATCTACACTAGAGTCGAAAGCGTCCGGCACATAATAACCTTCCATTAATACTTGTTTAATGAAAGAATGAATGAATTGTTTATACAATATTGAGACTTCTAACATAATTGTAATAATTTAAGGAAAACAAATATTGGATGATAACCTGTATTTTCTAACATTATTTACTTTTAGAAAATATGGTACTACCCATCTTCTGAAAAATTAAACACCATATTTTCTTTAAAAACCTAAAGTGATATGTTCATTGATAGCTTGGTTATTAAGACATAAATAGTCAGGGCATTACAAATGTGGAAAAATGAGAACATATTTTGAAAGGAAAAATTACAGATACAGGTATATATGATACATTAATAGAGGCCAGGAATACAGTGAAAGTAGAATCTTGTAACTCTGTATTGTGCTTTATGTTTCCCCCAAAATATTTTTTTTCATGTATGGATCTGGCTGACTGTCTCTTATATCTAAAATTTAAAATGTGTTATTTTTATAGCAGTTATTCTTGGACACACAAGTAAATCAATGTGTATATTCAAAAGATGTTTATTTTTGAGGAATAAAATTGTTAAGATAAATTTATTCCTTTATCTAAACATTAACATTTATATATTAAAGTATGCTGTTTAGTTATAAATCTTGTTTTGAAAATGTTTTTGTGAGTACACTAGAAATGCACCTTTTTATTTTGTATAACATTAAAAAAATCTTTTAAAAATACTATGAGATGAATAGGATGTAAAAATTGACATTGTTAGCACAAGATTCATGTTAATGTTTACTCATGTAAATAGTACAAAATACTGCCTAATTAACATGGTTGGTAAATTTTTGGTACTTTAATTTTCTCTGTTATTGTAAACCATGCATAAAATGCTTGCCTATTGAGAAGTGCAGAATTGTCAGAGCTTAAACAGCTGACATCTGCTTACTCTCTTAAAAAAAAAAAAAGGAATAACAAGCCATTTCAGCCTAATCTACCTCAAATGTGTTCATGTAAATGGAGGTCCATCTATTGACCTGTATTCTTTTCAGCTCAGGATTGGTCCACATGGTTTATGAAACCAGGAAGGCTGATTTGAAATGCAGATGTCGAGACAGTGAAGTACACCCTCCCCTTTTTTTCTTTGCTGTATCTGTCAGGGTGAAAAATGGCTTGCACAAGGGTCAGTCACCCATACTCACTTAATTACTTTTCTTGGACCCACAGAACTATCACAAGCTGTGGTGGATGCGGGAGCAGTTCCTCTTTTAGTACTCTGTATCCAGGAGCCAGAAATTGCTTTGAAAAGGTTGGCTGCTTCAGTCCTCACTGATATTTCAAAGCATTCTCCAGAGTTAGCACAGACAGTAGTGGATGCAGGAGCTATTGCTCACTTAGCCCAGATGATTCTGAACCATGCATGATGCTCAATTTAAAAATAAGTTAAAAAAAACAGACTTCTGTTAATCTAAGAAAATGGAAATGTGTATAGATTAATGTTATATCTTCAGGAATAATTTATAAATTATCATTGAAAACAGATGTGACTATATTATACATTTGGTCTTTTAATTATCCTGTAAGGAATAGACAACAAAGACATGACTGGGAAAAATATGTGCAATGCTAAAAATTAGAAGTAGCATCAGTATTAACATTAATCACTGAAATAAGGAATCATATAATGATTGAATCTGAGGACAGGAAAGAACCTAAAGTTTTTCTAGCTCACCACTATATATATTTAAGTGTCTTATGAAAATTTCCATATTTATGTTTATCTTTTTTATACCTTTCTAAATCTAATTTTCAGTTAATAGTCACCAATTAATTATGTCTTACGAGGTTTTTAAATTGTTAATGTTAACTAAGTAATGGAAAGTTCTTTGAAATGTTATCAGCATCATGCCAAAAATAAGATATTAGTTCTGCCTGATTTTTTTTGTATTATATCACCACATGTATTGTAAATTAACAATTTACATATTACATAATTAAGTAGTATTTATTCAAAGATTACATTCTTTGTTGATCTGCAATAGAGTTTTAAATATTCCATAGAACACTAAGACATTTAATTTGGAAATGAGGGAATTTAAGAAATTGGGCATTTAGGTATAAGACTAGGATGTGAATGTCTCAAGACTCAGAAATCTTAGGTTATGTTAGACATGTAATTATTTTTTCTTTTTATAAAGGAATTTGACTAAGTATAAAGCTTTGCACTGGACCCTAAGTAATGCTTTACTTTGGTTTTTGCTTGACAGCATCCGTTCTTTTCAGCTCTCAGTAAGATTGCAAAACATTCTGTGGATCTGGCAGAAATGGTGGTTGAGGCAGAGATTTTTCCAGTTTTACTTACCTGCCTGAAGGAGAGAGATGAATGCATGAAGAAAAATGCTTCCACTTTAATTAGAGATTGCAGACTATACACCCGAGGTTTAGAAAAAAGCTTTAACTACAATAATATTAGTTAGTTTTCATTATTAAGTAAAACTTAATTTGTATAAACTCAATTTTGTAATTAAGTAAAACTCAATTTGTATAAAAGGCGCAGGTGCTGTGCACATGGTTTGGTTAGGTCAGGTCAGGGTTTCTCATCCTGAGCACTGCGGACATTTTGGACTAGATAATCCTTTGTTGTGGGGGACTGTCCTGTACACTGCAGGCTGGATATTTAGGAGCATCCGTGGCCCCTGCCAGTTCCCACATCATGATAATCAAGATTGTCTTCATATATTGCCAAATGTTTCCCAGAGGACAAAAGTGCCCCTTGTTGAGAACCCAACTGAGTTGTATCAACTGGAGTTTGAAACAGAAATCTCAGTTTTTAATCATTTTCTGCTTTCCATTTCTAGATTGTGGGGACTGTAGACCTTTGCCATTGTTGTCATTTCAGGTCAGCTGAGGGGAGTGAGAGATTGTACAGTTCCAGGGAGGGAGAGACCACCAGGCCCCCACAGCCCAGTGTAACTGCTCTAGTAGCTGCTCTTACATGGTGGTTCCTGCTCTGAGTTTTTAGATGCCAAAGGCATAGAGATGAAGCAAGCCTGGGTGGATTCTGAAGTTGTGTCTTTTTCTGTGTATATCTTTGACTAATCAATTTCATTTTACTAAAATTTGAAGTCCTCATTCTTTATTTCACCTAATATTTTTACCTGGTTGAAATTTTTTATGGTTGAAGTGTAATCAGCTAGTAATCAGTGTTTGTGAAGGGGGGATAATTAGGCTAGAATAATTCAAATCTGACATTTTCGTTCAGCATTCAGTTTAACCTGCTTCATACTCATATGTTGTGATTGGGGCTTTCAGTAGTTAGCTAGTTATCAACTAGCCCTAGGCTTAGTGTCTAGGTGAGGAATTTTGACAACCATTAGAATAGGGATAAAAGTTGTGCCATCAATGCATGAAAAATTGAAGCACAAGATAAGCTCCTCACAGTGAGTATGTTTGTACATTCAAAATAGGATTATTATACTTGTATATTTCTTTAATAAGTATAGTAATTTCACTAAATCATATTTCAAATTTCACCAGGTGTTTTTAGGTCCTAAGTAAAAATGTTTGGCAATACTAAAGTAATATTTGAAGATTATCTTATGCTTTTTGGTCACAATTACCTATCTCTTCTTCCTTTCCCTTAACTTTCGTAGTTGATAGTTAACACAGGAGGAGTTGCTGCAGTGATTGATTGCACTGGATCTTGCAAAGGAAACATAAGACTGCCTGGCATCATGATGCTTGGTTATGTGGTGTCTCATTCTGAGAATCTGGCAATGGCAGTGATCATTTCCAAGTTTGTTCTTGCTTTATTTTCTTCTAGTTATTGCAGTGAAAAATTCTAAGACAAAGCAATAGTACTACTCTCCTACAGATTGTAAAATGCAGCTGACCAGAGTGAAAGAAACCTGAAGAATTCTTCAGCTTATTTTCAAAGTTTATTAGTAAGTTTCTGAAAGCAAAGTTTTAAGTAACGTTTACTTTGTAGACAGTTAAAAGTTTTACTCAGTATTTAATATCTACAAGTATCAATACCTCTGAGCATTAGTATAACATGGATTGAAATACAGTATTCAGTGTATTTGTATCCTGAAGGATTGACTGTACATATTCACAAACATGTGAAGCATACTTTGATTAAAGACAGCTATTTAAATTTTATATGCCCAGTAGTCATTCTCCCCTTTCCTGTCATTTGGGGTAGGAGATGACAATGGCTAGGACATCCTTCTTTTATCTACTTTCCATCAGGTTTCATGAACTCATTTCTCTTTTTAGATGGGGACAATTCAGAGCACATGTCAGATAGCAGCGTTTTGTGCCCTTGCTCTAGGAATTTGGCCTCATCTTAATTTACAACTTGGTAGTAACCCACCATACAGTGTAGCCCTAACACAGAGTAGGTATTCAAAAATATTGATTGAATGAATAAATATTGATCTCCTGAAGAATGCTTCAGAGGCTGTGTGTGTATAGCGTCTTTGGCAGCCCTCTAGGGTGTAGGTTTCTTATCAGCATAGAAAACCTGCTGCTGTATGTTAAACAGCAGTGTGGATTTTTTTTTTTTATCCCTTGCTAATCCTCAGAATAAAAAGGAGCCTCAGATCTTTATTTTCTACCTATTCCTTGACAATTCTTTACTTTACTCGCTTTTTATCCTACACTTTTTGTTCTTCTATTACCAAAGACTGTGACAGAGACTAGAACAGTAGTGCTGCTTTCTGAAGGGTCACTGTGGGGATATTACTGGGATTTTTGAGTCTTGGTTCTTTTGTGGATTGTCAGAAAGCTTACACATAGGAGGAATGATGAAAGAAGCAGCAATTGCTTCTTTATTTTATTTTTATTTTATTTTATTTTTCAAATATATTTGTCTTCATTTACCTGCCCCTACTTTCCCCTGCCCCTCCTGCCCCCACTTCACTCCCTCAATCCCTCCCCACCTTGGTTCCATCCATGTGTCCTTCATACATGTTCCTTGATTTGACCCTTCCCCTTTCTTTCCCCACTACCCCACCTCCCTCCTTTCCTCTTGCTTCAGTTGGTTTCTTTTTTCACTCAATGTGCAGCAATTGCTTTTGCTTCCTATATTTCCTCCCCAAGCTAACCAGTAGGTGCTTCCCTTCTCTGTCTAGGATTGCCTGCGGCCTCTCTCACCTGGCTCTCTCTCAGCTGAAGATGAAAGTGGCAGCAGCACTTTTAGGCAAACCCGTCTGTGTAATTCTTTCTTTTTCCTACACAGTAGTGTAAGGACTAATAACAGTACTTCACATTTAACTAAAACTTTATAATTTTCAAAGCACATTCATTTTTCTTATCTCATTTGCTGTTCATTACAACCGAGGCCAGTAAGTCAGAGTTTGGAGGATGGGGTGGAGGAGGCTGCCTTCCTTTCCTTCTTCTTCAGTCTTGTTAAGTCCCAGAGTACGGACATTGTGGAAAATTGCCTCATTTTGAAGACAGATCTGACCTTTTGTATTGGTAGACAAACATTTTAGTTGGTAAAAAAGAAACCAATGAAGAAATATGGCAGGTCTTTTCAGGAAATCGGTCTTAATAATCAAATTTAAAGGTACGAGGGAAAAAGTGTATATGATCATTTAGACTTTGATATGGTAGCATGACAATGTGACACTGATTTTTGTGGTACTAAGTTTAAGGTGATCAAGCCCTGATTATATGAAATTTTAAAGGGACTTATCTAAGAAAAAGAAAAAAGTCAAAACTATGAACAGTAAAATGTTAACAAACTCACAACTATCCAAAACTGAACCTAAAAAACAAAAATAAAAACAAATTAAGCAAACAACTAGAACAGGAACAGAATCAGAGATGGAGATCACATGGAGGGTTATCAGTGGGGAATGGTAGGGGGAGAATTGGGGAAAAAGACACAAAGATTAAGAAGCATAATTGGTAGGGACAAAATAGGGGGAGGTTAAGAATAGTTTAGGAAATGCAGAAGCCAATGAACTTATATGTACAACCCATGGACATGAACTAAGTTGAGGGGGAATGCTGGAGAGAAGAGGGGTGCAGGGTGGAGGGGATAAAAGGGAGAAAAAAAAGGGACAACTCTAATAGCATAATCAATAAAATATACTTAAAAAATAAGAAAATAAATTTAAGGTGATAATTATTATAGTCTCAAATTAGTTAGATAATTATTCCTGTACAGAATCTGTAATTATAATTTGTTTTGGCTATTTGATTCTCCCTTAGATATAGAAATTGTGATGTATTTGAGACGCTTTAGTTAATTATGTTTTGATTATTTAGGTAAAACTGAAGCCTAAAGTTCAAAATATAATCACATGCTATCTGTGTAACAAAAGTAATCATTTCTATTTTGACATTTAATCCTGTTAAAATAGGCAAAATTATCATTTAAAAGTTGTCCAAAATTAATTAAAATTTATTTACTATTTCAGGAAAGGTTTCAGTGAAAATATTTAATCTAAAAATGACATAAATAGAATTCTGGCTCACATCATTCATTGGATTTCAAATCTGTAGTACTGATTTTGTTGTCAGATTTATTATGCTTAGTGAAAAGATTATTTTAAAGGATTCTAAATTAATTTTTTAACAAAGGACAATAAAAGGCTTTAAAATCTAAGCATTTTAAAGCTGTAACAGTAGAATCTGGTTTTGCCTATATACTAATTTGTGACATCTGTGGTTTGGTTAAATGCTTCTTTATTTAGGGGAGTAAATGCTAGCAGAGATAGTCTTGGTTTAGTTGGATTGTAACAGATAATTAAGGTAAATTAGTTCTAGTCATTTTATTGACTTGAAAAAATGACAGCCCCTGTGATGTGCTCATTTATTGAACCATCTAGGGAAAAAAGGATTAAGGCCAAAATGATTTCTTCTAATGTTTGGGAGACATGGAAGACTCTTTAATCCTGCTCTAGAGTCATAACACTTGCTCTTTTGATCAACGCCGCAGGGTGTGCCCCAGTTGTCAGTCTGCCTGTCAGAAGAACCAGAAGATCATATTAAGGCTATTACTGCTTGGACCTTGGGACAGATAGGGAGACTCACCCCAGAGCATGCACAGGTTGTCGCAGTCACAAACCCTTTGCCAGTTCTGCTTTCTTTGTACGTGTCAACAGAAAGCTCTGAGGGTCTTCAAGTAAAAGTAAGTGCTTGTTGATGGTAGCCATTCTAACAGTTGTAAGGTGATATTTCATTGAGGTTTTAATTTGCATTTCTTTGATGATTAGTAATGTTGAGCATTTTCTCATATGTCTGAAGACCATCTGTATGTTCTCTTAGGAGAAAAAGTATCTACTCAGTTCTTTTGCCCATTTCTTAATTGAGTCGTTTGTCTTCCTGGCATTGAGTTGTATTAGTACTTCATATATTTTGGAGATTAACCCCTTGTCAGATGTATCATTGGTGAAAATATTCTCCCATTCAGCGGGTCCCCTATTTGTCTTCCTAATGGTTTCCTTAGCTGTGCAGGAGCTTTTTAATTTGATGTAGTCCCATTTGTTTGTTTTCTGCTTTGTTTCCAGTGCCTTAAGATACATATCAGTAAAAGTATTTCTACGTTGAATATCTGAAATTTTACTACCTCAGTTTTCTTCTAGGATTTTTGTGGATTCACGACTTACATTTAAGTCTTTTATTTGTTCTGACTTTATTTTTGTGTATGGTGTAAGTTTCTTTTTTTTTGCATATACCAGTCCAGTTTCCCCCACACCATTTACTGAAGAGACTGTCTTTGCTCCACTGTATGCTCTTGCCACCTTTGTCAAATATCAATTGCTCATGCAGGTGTGGGTTTATTCCTGGGTGCTCTGTTCTTTTCCATTGATCTGTATGTCTGTTTTAGTGCCAGTGCCAGGCTGTTTTTATTACAGTGGCCTTCTTGTATAGTTTAATATCAGGAGTTGTGATACCTCTAGCTTTGTTCTTCTCTCGCAAGATTACTAAGGCTATTTAGGGTCTTTTTTGGTTCTATATAAATTTTTGGGATATTTGTTCTAGCTCTGTGAAATATGCCATTGGTATTTTAATAGGAATTACATTGAATGTATAGATTGGTTTGGGTAGAATGATCATTTTAATGATATATTTTAAAAAAGTGAGTCTTAATTCTTACTGTTCTGTGAAAATTTGTTAGATTTTGACTCATTCTTAAAATATATGTTATTTAAAATGTTTTAATTTTCATTATGGATAATATTGTTTTTAGAGGTCAAGAAATACAAATTTATCAGCATTGAGGAGACTCTCCTTTTAAATGGGTTACCCTTGTCTCTAAAGAATCTGTGATACCCTTCAAAGAAAGTTTTCTGCAGGTGCAAAGTTGTTTGTAAAATGAATATCTGGTTGTTACCTTCTACATTCCTGCTGACATTTTTTATAGAATAGGAATTGAAGAATAGTAAAATTTTGGGATTAAAATTAGCTGGAGAGAACTTTACATTAAAAAATTAATCTTACATTAAATTAATCTTACATTAAAAAATTGAGTCCAAATGAATTTGAAGTGCTTCCAAATGTATAATGTAACTGCGCGGGAGGTGTTTCTGAAGCCATGATCTACCCCTCCTAACTCCAAGTTTGCCAGGTCTTTTAATTCCATGTCTTAAATTTGTTCCTCAAAAGAAAAATGTCCATACTATTCACAATATTAAATATTTTAAGACATTCATTAAAAAAAATCCAGCTTTCTGGCCAAATATTACTAGCTACTAAAAGTCTTCACAAAACATGAATATAAAGTAGGGTAGATTGTTCAATAGTCATAGAATTTCAAAGGAAAAAAAATGTTCTTCATTATACTATCTTGTTAGGAAACCATGTAACTTTTTAAAAACAGTTTTTAGAATTGACTTGGATTAAAGGAAGTCCACAGAAAAAATAATAATTCAAAGTAAAGTTAACAACAGTAAGTTAAATTATATTTAAATTTTAATTAAAACAATAAATGAACATATGAGAACATGCTTGCTGAAATTAGATGATACAATGAGGCAGGAAGTTTATTAGAACTGTATAGTTTAGGGATTCTGAAAGTTATATATAGTTAATCACTTATTTAATTATCAATTTATATATTTAAAATTTTATAATTTATAATTTTATAAAACTAAAGTCTATTTGGTTATGTGTACATGTTATTTCTCTACAAATTCATTGAGTAAAGTTGATTTCTAAGACTAATTTTTTTCACTTTTTATAAGACTTTCTAAATCAAAGCCATGATTTGATAGATTTGGGGCTCCCTTATATTTCTCTGGTGTTCACTGCATTCCTTGGCAATGCTTGGTAGGACAATTAAGATTGGCAATGTGCTAAAGCCATTTCCCATTTAAGAATTCTGGGATTCTTTGACTTTCTGGTTGAGAAATCACAACCACATTTTCAGTTTTGAATTGCTCAGGACAGGTTATTTATATATATGTAATTTTAACCTATATATGTAGTTCTATTTTGGCCTCAAATTTCTTTAACCCATTATCATTATTGTCTTTTCTTCCTTCCACATCCCTCCCCTAACCCCCAAATTCCTCTTCTTTCCTATTCCTTCTTCCTCACCTCTCATCCTCATGCCCCTTACTTCTAGTGATCCAGTCACATGTCTCTTCTGCAGCGTTTCTACAGGTATAAACTGTGCTGCCCAGGCTATAATAGTAATTATGTTCAACTTTTAGGTCATCAACAAATACATTCACTTTCAAATACTCTATCACCTTCAGATTCCCACACTTAACAACTTTTATTTTCCTGTAAGTATTGGAAATAAAGGAATACATGAGTTATAGCATGAAAAATTAATACTGGGGAGTCAATAGTAATTATAGCTGAGAAACCCTTGCAAATAGTTTCTTAGGAAGCACTATACAGAAGTGAGCAAAAGTATATTTACAGTTTTAATATAAATAATACAATAATTAATAAATGATAATACAAAAGTAAACTGTGTTTCACATACAACTGTAAACCTACTTTTACCCATTTGGTATACTTTTTATATACTTCCAAGTTTATATAACTTGGTTTTTAATTAATTATTATGATATTATAATGTATAAATATCGCTGGAGTAAAAGTAAGATAACTTTTATTGCATTTTATTTATTTATCTTTAAAAAGATTTTACTTGCTTATTTTTAGAGAGGGGGAACAGAGTGAGAAAGAGAGGGAGAGAGACATCAATGTGTGGTTGCCTCTGATGCACCCCCTTTTGGGGACCTGGCCCGCAACCCAGGCATGTGCTCTGATTGGGAATTGAACTGGCAACCGTTTGGTTGCAGGCTGGCACTCTATCCACTGAGCCACACCAGCCAGGGCCCTATTATACTTTATTTTAACAATGGTGGTTTTAGTAAAACACTTAGGTTTACTAGTAGAAGTTAAGGTTCCTTCTGCCTGCATTTGATATGATATTTATTTTCAAGAAACACACTGGGTATTTAATTAGAAAGTGGGATCTTTATCAGTCGTTGTTCTATGAGCACTCTTCCAAGGCTTTAAATTCATCCAAATATTTTTTAATGTAGGGGTTTGATTATTTTTTTTCTTCTCCAAGTTCTCTTGGATTGTATCAGTAATTGGATGGAAGTTCAAGTCTGTTTGTTTCGACACTATCTCAGTGGGAAAAGATGCAACCAAGAGCTTCAGAAACTGTCTAATGGTATTTCTCATTTGTTACTCTGGCAGCTTTCAAATTATAAGGCTATGTTGATGTTTATTTTGTCTCAAAGGCATGTCAGCTTCTGTAAGCTTTCTCTAATTTGTTCTGATGCAAGAGAACCAATGAGCAGCCCCTTATAATTTCTTGCATATTTTCACATAGATTTATTATCTGCCTGTGCCTGTATTATTTCAAATACCTTATTAAAAACTGAAAAAATACATCTTTTATTTAATAAACTTACCTACATGTGTTTTTAAAATATTCAGGCAGTTGCATTTTCATTTGTTTTGATTTAGAGGCATCCTACTTTCCATGTTAGTTTTGACATTTGAATAAGTTCATTATATTACCTTAGTTATAAAACTATTTCTAAGATAATTATTTGATTTATTGTGTTCTTATCATGATGTTTGTTAACTTTAACTTTTTTAGCAGCTTTATTGAAATATAATTTATGTACCATACAATCTACCCATTTAAAGTATACAATTTGTTGGTTTTTAGTATATTCAGAATTGTGCAGCCACACCACAATCTAATTTTAGAACATTTTTATTCCTCCATTAACCATCACTTCATATCTTCCCTATTTAGCCCCAGGCAACCATTAATTTACTTTCTCCCTTTGTCTCTTTTGGATATTTAATTTAAATGGAATTGTACACTATATGTGGCCTTTTGTTCCTGGCTTCTTTCACTTAGCATAAATTTCAAGGCTCATTCCTATATGGCATGTATTGATATTTTGTTCCTTTTTATTGCCAAATGCTATTCTAATGTATTGATGTACCATATTTTTTTTTTCAATTTACTAATTGGGTTGTTCCCACTCTTTGACTATTATGAATAATGCTGCTATGAACATTATTGTACAAGTTTTTGTGTAGACTGTTTTCATTTCTCTTGGGTAGATACTTAGTAGTGTAATTGCTAGCTAATACAATAACTCTGTTTAACATTTTCAGGAACTGCTGAACTGTTTTTCAATGTGAGCACCATTTTGTATTCCCATCAATAATATATGTGGATTCCAGCTTTCCACATCCTTGCCAACACTTATTATCTTTGATTTTTATTATAGTCATCCTAGTGGGTCTAAAGTGGTATCTCGTGGTTTTGATTTGTACTTAATAGTTAATCAAATAGTTAGTTAATACAATTGACTAGTTATTGCTATAGATAATCTTTTCATTTGCTTATTGGTCATTCATTTATCTCCTTTGGAGAAAAGTCTAATCAGACCCTTTGCCCACTTAGAAATTACGCTATTCTTGAGTTGTAAGGGTTCTTTTTGTATTCTGGATACAAGTACTTATCAGATGTATGATTTACAAGTATTTACTCCCAATCTGCAGATTACCTTGTCACTTCCTTGATGGTATCATTTGTAGCAAAACACTTTTAAATTTTAAAGAAATTTAATCTATATATTTGTTCTTTTGTTGCTTATACAGTTAGAACCATACCTAGGAAAACTTTGCCTAACCTAAAGTCACAAAATGTATTCCTATGTTCTCCTTTTGTTATAATTCTTTGGGACAGAATGCTTTCAGAACAAGATGAACTTCTGAATAAGAAACATTTTAAAATTTTAAACAGCTTTTAAAAAAATTTATTAAGCAAAGCAATAATGAATAATTTTATTATTCCTTTGATTTTTTGTGAAAAACAATTGAAATGGTATCAAGTGTTTGTACTGACAATTTTATTTTGTTAATTACTATTCTTATGTATATTACTAATAGGTAAAATATAGTGCTGCTAGTCACTTATTGTGGTTTTTACAACAGTTCTATGAGTAAATATAGAACTGTAGATGCTATGCTAGTTCATAAGAAAACCAGGCTCAAACTCAAGTTGCTCTAAATAGATAGATAGCCCATGACTTGTTCTCTGACATCATCATGTATTATGCTTGTATAAGGATAAACACTAATTACTAAATGTGGTGATAACCAGCAAAATTCATAATCTGTTATTCATTAAAGTAAGATATTACTTCATTTACTGAGTTAACTAAATAAAAGGATCTTCTGACATCATATAATTTCTTTCCAATCACACTATGAAGTTGTAAGAACTATTTTATTTTTCTAACACAGGCACATTTGCTAAAGACTATCAAATTTTACATTCAACATGTGACATGACTTTGTATGTAGAACACCCTATGGAATACACACACACACACACACACGCTAGAACTAATAAGAGTTCAACAAAGTTATAGAATATAATATCAAAATATAAAAATACATTTTTATATTTTGTTAATAATGATCAATTAAAATATGAAATTAATAAAATAGTTTTATTCACAATAGTATTAAAAAGAATATATTACTTAGGAATAAATTTAACAAAAGAAGTATAAGACATGTACACTGAAAACTGCAAAACATTGTTGAAAAAGTTTAAAGAAAATCTTGGTGGAGAGACATTCCATATTCATGGATTGGAAGATTCAATATTGTTAAGATGGCAATATTCCCCAAATTATTCTATATATTCAACAGATTCTCTATAAAAAAATCCAAGCTGGCTTCCCTCCACCACCTTGAAAAGCAGATTCTAAAATTTACATGGAAATACAGAAGACCAGAACTATCCAAAACAATCTTGAAAAATAAGGACTTACACTACCTTATTACAAAACTTACTCAAAGCTACAGAAATAAAGATAGTGTGGTACTTATTTACAGAAAGACATATATATCAGTGTAATTTAATTGAGAATCTCACGTAGACTCTTTTTTAGTCAATTTATTTTTCACAAGATGCCAAAGCAATTTAATATGAAAAGGGTAGTATTTTTAACAGATGGTATTTTGACAAAGCACCAAATTAGATTTTAACATGACAGAGTTTTTCATTTCCCCTCATGCTCTGTAAAATAATCTTAGAAAGGTGTAGAAAGAAGACTTCTATTCGAGAAAGTACTTTACTATTGGTTAATTCTAACAGATTATTCCATTTGGGGGGCCATTTTGTTTGCTTTTACCCCATTTTCTATAATTTTGTTTATATTAGAAAACTGTATTGAAAGTTATTTTAACCTAACATAAAAATAGTATTCTTCCAAAGGCGAGGCATAAATGTGCAAAAATTAACTTTATTTTATTTTCTTGAGAAAATATTTTCATATTTCCTTCATTTAGTGATTTTATACATTTTATATATTATATAAACTGTTTGGAATACCATTGTATTTGTAAATTATATATAGTAGCTATGTATATCCTTTATGATATTCTATTCCTTTGGTATATTTTATATGTATTAATATTTTCAAAGCTAACTTATTGAAACTCTTTTGGTCAAAGAGTTCACATAAACCTCCCAAAAGTGCATAAACTTATACCTTTGGAAAGACTTTACTTGCAGAATATATGTGAACAGAAAACAAATTTTAATGTTAAATAAAATTATTTTTGCCCACCCCTGTACGTACAAGCAGATGTAGATTTATAGTTGAAAACAGCTGTAGATAAACCCAGCTGTGAAGCCTTCCAAAGTGAAGGGGGCAGGCTTTGCTACAAAGAAACAGAATCACAACCAGCCGTGTCTTTAGAGCTGGCTGCAGGAATGTGCTTCAGTCACATCAGAGCCCTTCTTCAGCTACACTTTTGGCTGGGGGACAGCACTGCATGGTGTCACCATGAAATACAGGGTGATGGGGGAGGGTGGGAAAGGTACCTGTGGGTACCTATTCTATTGCTTGTGGGCGATACGCTCCTTGTTGTTGAACTTTCCTCTGCAGCTGAGTGGATTCTGTTTTGCTTCTATCTGTGAGTGAGGCAATTTCTACCTGTAATCTATAGCAGCGTATCTGCAAATGCTCATTCAATAATGCACACAGTAGAATATTTCTGATTACATACCTATAAGCCATGAAGTCTTTTGGAACATAGAATAACTGATATTGGCTTTCTACAGTAAACTATTTTCTCATTATTATCTCACAGTTTCATATATACACTAATAAATGTAATACATATTAAATACATATTTTACACTAATAAAATGTAATACATATTAATTTATAGCCTATAGCATTATGATTTATAATTTTAACTTCCTCATAGGTATTTTAAGAGCTCAGCAATACACCACACATTTTAAAATTTGACACAAAGACAACTGGCAGAGTATTCTATGATAAAACCAATGAAAGATAGAAGGAATTTTTCTGACAACTATTTTAAAAATGAAACAACTGCAGCTTAGACCAGGAAATTGATTTCATTTTCAAATTCCAGGAACATGAGACATGAATTTTTTCAAGCTTTCATTGATTGCTTACTTTAATATGTATTTTACTTTGTATTTCAATAAAGTAAAAAAGCCATACAGAATATCTTACAAAAATGCACCTATTGCCAGCCATTGAGCCATTTCAATATGATGTTCCTCTCAATATTCTGAAGCATGTTGTTGGACAGTTCAGTAAGGTAAGAAGTGCTCTTAGCCTGGAGGTGGGGGAAGAAAATGAAAATGAATTAACTTGCTTTTTTCTGTGGGGTAAATGTTTTCTTCTGTAAGATGGGGGCAGGGTCCTACTACTTAACTGTTACTGATTGTGTTGACAGGGATGGTAATGTAGATTAATAAAATTAACACATATAATTCACACTTCCTTCTTCCTCATAGTTTCTGTACTCTCTCTTTTAGTGTTCTCAGGGAGTAAATAGTATGTCAACACATAAAAACCTCATAATGTGTAGAGATAATTTATATTGGTAAGTAACTCTTAGTAATTTTCCCGGTGTTTGTTAGTCTCACTCATTTGGGAACACTGCAAAGACCTTTAAAAGAAAAAGAGAATGGTCTCTGAACCACTGAAATATTTTCCACAAAGTTCATGCATATACCAGAGATGCTCTCTGTATCTCCTACAGACAGTCATTTAAAGTTTATTGACTTATTTTATGAACAATTTTAATAAATGTAGCTGTTAAAAATTTCTTAGATTATTGCAGATTAAAAGTAGTAAAGTAGGAAGGTCAAGCTGCTAGCAGTGGGCAGCAGGACTGACAACTGATAGCAAAGGCTGGGAGAGAGTGACTCTGTTGCCGCAGCCATTGGTGGCCAGGACGGTGACCCTGAGCCATCAAGAACTGGTTAAACTGTGCTCAGGGGATTTGATTTAAGAAACGAAGGTCTTTGGAAATAATATCCCATAATGGCTCTGAGATCAGGCTGTGGAGTTGGGGTACATGGATTTATATTTACCAGCTGTAGTATCCTTAACAAAGTCTTAACCTCTCTAAACCTTAGTATGATAACCCATAAAATGGGGATAGTAAGAGTGCCTGTTTCATAGGGTCATTGTAAAGTTAAATGAGAGGTTATATGAAAAGAGTTTAGCTCAATCCCAAGCACATATTAAGCACTCAAACACACACACACACACACACACACACACACGCACACGCACACGCGCGCGCACACACGGTTGTTTTTAAGATATAGAACATGAAATGAAAGTAAAGCTGATTTAGAATTAATAAAAATGGAGGATGAATTTATTTAAATAGTCAGGTATAATACTGTATAAAGGAGCTACTATTATCTGTATACTCTTTTCCTGCAAAGAATGAATTCTCCCTGAGAATACTAAAAAACTGTGTATTGCTATAACTTGTAAACTAGTCCCTACAGGTAAATAGGTCTAGTTGTAGGTATTCATCTGAAAGATACTAATAGCCTCTACTCTTCTGAACTATGTCCACCATCTCCAACAGTTTGGTTGACCCTCAAGCACCATGGCCACTGGATAGTACATTTTATATTGCTGAGGCCACTCCCCCTTGGGAGCTAAGTAAGACATTGACCAGCTTAAAAGGGGGGAGGGGCAATGAGGAGCTGAGTGGATCATCTATAGATAGAGTCTTCAGTTCTTGAAAAATGAGTAGTTGACATTATTTCTGAAAGTTTCATTTTATAGTCTAATCTTTTAGGCTACTGAGATATTCTAGTTTTATTGAACTTACTATAAAAATGAACACTAACCTAAACTGTGTTAAAAATCAGTCACTAAAGCAAATAAAAATAAATTAGTGAGATTTGTGGAAGGTTAAATAGCCAAGGTAAAATAAAGACAATACCTTATATTATGTAATCTTATAAATGTGATTTTAGGAATATTTACTTCAGGCAGAATTGTATGTTTTCTTAATCTAAGGATACCAGAGGACTAAAAAGAGATGGGAAAACAAGGCAGTAGGTAAAAAGATAGTAATTTAATGTGGCTGAGGACAGGCATGGAAGGTATGAAAACTCTTCAGGCCAAAAAATATTTAAAATTTATATGCAGAGCATTCCATTAAAAAAAATCCTCATATGTATTTATTGATTTTAGAGAAAGAGGAAGGGAGAGAGAAAGAGAGAGAAACATCATTGTGAGAAATATTGATTTGTTGCCTCCTGTACCTGCCCTGATGGGGTACTAAACCTGCAACCTCCATTCCATTTTCTTTATTGGCCCAGCTACTATGTATTAACATTCTATTAGCCATATTGTTTGGTAATTTTAAGTATTTGTTAAACGTCTACATGTACCCTTATAGCTTTGAGGGATAGACAAAAAAGAATAAGACAAAGTTCTTCTCAAGGAGCTTTATAATCTAGCTGGAGTGACCAGAAGAAACAATTAGAAAATACTTTAATGTGCTAGACTTCATAATAAACTTCTATTTTTTAACTTAATTTTAATTTTTTATCTTCACCTGAAGACATGCTTATTGATTTTAGAGAGAGAGGAAGGGAGAGGGAGAGAGGGGGAGAGAAACATCCATGTGAGAGAGAAACATTGATTGTTTGCCTCTTGCATGTGCTCCAACTGGGGATCAAACCCACAAGCTAGGCACGTGCCCTGACCAGAAATAGAATCTGCCACTCTTTTGCTTTATGGGATGATGCTCCGCCCAACTGAGCCACACTGGTTAGGGCCATAATAAAGTTTTTAAAAAGAAGAAATAAGTTAAATCAGACTGAGGTAATCAGGAGGGCTTCAGTGGAGGAAATACAAGTGAAAAAAGCTGGTTTTGAAGAAAAAGTAAGAATGGTGAGGGAAAAGAAAGGGTGTTTCTCTCAGAAGAAATAGTAGCAATGACCAAGAAAGAGAGTGGGAATTCCCACATTGTGAACCCACTCTCCAGAATCTTCTTTGTCTGGTCAGTTGTTGTCATGCATAATTAATTTCTTCATCAGCAGTGGCTCTTGCCTCTCAATATACAAACATCCATTGTCAAATCCAGAAATTTTCTTTAGTTCTCATTAGTTTCTTCTTAAAATCTTCTCTTGGATTTGTTGATTCCTCACTTCCTGATTCTTCTATCTCTTTAACATCTTAATTTCCTTTTTCTGCCTACTCCTTAATATGTTCATTATTTGTTTAACAATAATTGACCATCTATTGGGCAGCAGGCACTAGAAAAATAAATGAATGAATAAATGTAGTTTCTGACTTCATGACATTTGTGACAGATGTAAACTGATCATGAAAATATTATGTGGCAAGTGCATCAATGGGGTTTAACAGAATGCTATGAGAGAAGAAAAGTACCTAACTCCTCCCGGGATAAGAGAGTATGGGAGTCCCACAGAAAGTTTCTTAAAAGAGGTAACACCTAGGCTGACTATTAGAAGATGAGCAAGAGTTATACAAGCAAATGGGGTGGAGGATGTGTGGAAAGTGGAGGGGCATTCTAGGAGAAGAAACAGCATGGGCAAAGGCAAGAAATGACCCAGCATGCACATTTGAGAATAGTGGGAAAAGAAGCTGGAGAGGTACTTACTTAGTTGCTGGGTCACAGAGAGTCTTCTGGGCTTGGTTAAGGAGTTTGCCTTTAATTTTGTGGGTAGTGGAAAGATTTTAAATGGGTGTCAGTACAGGAGGGACACCACTTTATATTTTATGTATGTGAGTGGATCTCTATTGCCTTTGCTCATGTTCATTGTCTTTATCCCATCTGCACAACATAAAAAGTTCATACATTTCTAAAAAGATTGAATTCTACATTTAACCATCAGCAAATTTAGGTTCATTATGTTACGGGTATATTGGATATAAATTCTCTTTTACATTTCCTCAGATACATTGTTGCTTTTCAGTAGTAACAATCCAACTTGGAAAAGAAAAGATGACATTTTAATGTGCTTCACTTTTCAAGCTGCTGCCACTACTTTTTTGTAACAAGTAGTGAACTTAAAAAGGTTCAAGAGATAAAAGCAGAACCTGGGTCTCTTTTTCAAGAATATATGAACAGTATTAACAACTGCTACCCAGAGGAAACAGTAAGGTGGGAAAGAATAGACTTTGAGAAGTTCAAAATTATAATGGGGTTTTTCTGTTTTCAAATGTAATTTTACATCCTTTCTGTCAAAATGCGGACTTTGAAATAATGTATACCTTTTTTTTTTTTTAATCCTCACCTGAAGAGGAAGGAGGAGAGAGAGATGGAGAGAGAGAGGGAGGGAAGAAAAGAAGGAGGGAAGGAGTGAGGAAAGAAGGGGAGAGAGAGACAGACATTGATGTGAGAGAGAAACATTGATTTGTTGCCTCCTGTATGCACCCTGACTGGGGATGGACCCGAAACCTAGGTATGTGCCCTGACCAGGGATCAAACCCTCATCCTCTTGGTGTATGGCACAATGCTCGAACCAACAGAGCCATCTGGCCAGGGCAAGATTAATGTGTACTTTTACTTTTGCTCCTGATCATTTTTTTTTTTTACCTCAAGTTAAATAATGTTCTCATTGACACACATTTCCAAGTTAAACTGGAATGCCATGTGAGACATTTCTGTACTAATTTAAGACATGTGTTACTAAAAAGTACCCAAATACAGTGTTTAAATTAAATTAATTTTTAATGTAAACCTGATTTAGAAAGGGCCTATTGATTCTGATTTTCATAGTTCCCTGAATATTGTTATTATTAAGCTCACACTTATATTAATGGGAGTATTATAAATGGGAAAGAAATGTTGAGTGTCAAGAAGAAAATTATAATTTATATCTGAAAAAAATTACATAAATAATACTGTTCATGATATGCAGGTGCTTCACAATACTATAGCAGGAAGCTACCTTCAAGGTTAATTTTTAAAAATAAGGTTGATTTGAAGATCATTAAACCTAAGCCTCAGACCTTGTAAGCCTAAAAAAGAACCATACCATTAAACCTAAAAGAAATAAAATGAAAGTTACCTCCTTGGTAATCTTTTTTATTATATGAAAAATGCCCAAAACACACGCAGAATTAAAGGCCATATTTTTCTAACAATACACTTCTTTCTTTCTCCAATTAATATTAGAGAATAAAAATTTCAATGAAAAAACTCTTAACATATAAGTTATATATACTCTTCTTCCTATTTAATATCAGTGGCTTTTAATACATGTAGTAACATTGATTTTATTATTTTTTAATAATTTTTATTGCTCTTCTATTATAGTTGTTCCAATTTCCCCCCCTTTGCCCTCTTCCACCCATTCCACCCCCTGCTCCCATAGTCAATTCCCACACTGTTGTCCATACACATTCTTTGTCTTGTCCCTTCCCCTTCTTTCCACCATTATCTCCCTCCTCCTTCCCTCTGGTCACTTTCAGTCTGTTCCATGTTTCCATGCCAGTGGTTCTATTTTGTTCATTAGTTTATTTTGTTCATTGGATTCCTCTTATAGGTGAGATTACACAGTATTTGTCTTTCACTGGCTGCCTTATTTTACTTAGCATAATATTCTCCATGCTGTTGCAAAAGGTAGGAGTTCCTTCTTTATTTCTGCTGCATAGTATTCCATTGTGTAAATGTATGACAGTTTTTTGATCCACTCATTTACTGATGGGCACTTAGGCTTTTTCCAGTACTTGGCTATTGAAAATAGCACTGCTATGGACATAGGGATGTGTGAGTTTTTCCAATTGGTGACTCAGGATTCTTAGGGCATATTCCCAGCAGCAGAATCGCTGGGTCAAAAGGCAGTTCCCTTTTTAGTTTTTTAAGGAAATTCCATACTGTTTGGCACACCAGTGGCTGCACCAGTTTACATTCCCACCAACAGTGCACTATGGTTCTTTTGTCTGCATCCTCACTAGCACTTGTTTGTTGATTTATTAATGATGGCCATTCTGACAGGTGTGAGGTGATAGCTCAATATGGTTTTGATTTGCATTTCTCTGATGGCTAGTGATGTTGAGCATATTTTCATATGTCTATGGGCCATCTGTATGTCCTCCTTGGAGAAGTGTCTATTCTGATCCTTTGCCCATTTTTTAATTGGATTGTTTGCTTCCTGGTGTTGAGTTGTATGAGCTCTTTATATATTTTGGAGATCAAACCTTTGTCTGATGTATCATTGGCAAATATGCTCTCCCATACAGCTGGTTCCCTTTTCATTTTGATGATAATTTCTTTAGCCATGCAAGAGCTTTTTAGTTTGGTGTAGTCCCATTTGCTTATTTTTTTTCCTTTATTTCCTTTGCCCTAGGAGATATATCAGCAAAAATATTGCCACATGAGATATCTGAAATTTTACTGCCTATGTTTTCTGCTAGGACCTTCATGGTATCATGACTGATATTTAAGTCTTTTATCCATTTAGAATTTACTCTGGTGTATGGTGTAAGTTGGTGGTCTAGTTTCATTTTTTTTTTTTTTTTGCATGTATCAGTACAGCCTTCCTAGCACCATTTGTTGAAGATGATATCTTTATTCCATTGTATGCTCCTGCCCCCTTTGTCAAATATTAGTTGACCATAGAGACTTGGGTTCATTTCTGGGTTTTCTATTCTGTTCCACTGATCTATGTGTCTGTTTCTTAATGACAGTACCAGACTGTCTTGATTACAATGACCTTGTAGTATAGTTTGCTATTAAGTATTGTGATCTCTCCTACTTTGTTCTTCTTTCTCAAGATTGCTGAGGTTATTCAGGGTCTTTTTTTGTTTCATATAAATTTTTGAAGTATTTGTTTTAGATCTGTGAAATATTCCATTGGTATTTTAATAGGAATTGCATTGAATCTATAGATTCCGTTGAGTAATATGGACATTTTAATGATGTTAATTCTTCCAATGCAGGTAACATTGATTTTAAAAACACAAAAATAATTTTCTTTAATATTATAATTTGTTTCCTGTTCACATATATTCTGCAAGTAAATTCTTTCCAAAGGTATAAAAAGTGCAAGAGTTTATGCACTTTTGGGAAGTCTATGAGAACTTCTTGACCAAAAATGTTCCAATAATACATATAAATATTTGAAAATATTAATACATATAAAGTATACCAAAGGAATGATATATCATGACATGTATATCTACTGTATATAATTTATAAATACAATGATCTACAAAACTATTTATATAACATATAAAATATGTGTAAAACCACTAAATAAAATATGAAAATCTTTTCTCAAGAAAAAAAATAAAGTTAATTTTCACACAGTTACACATCCCTTTAGGGAGAATACTATTTTTATATAAAGTTAAGATAACTTTCAATACAATTTTCTAATATAAACAAAATTATAGAAAATGGGGGAAAAAGCAAACAAAATGGCCTCACAAATGGAATGACCTATTAGAATTAACCAATAGTAAAGTATTTTCTTGAATAGAAGTCTTCTTTCTACTTCTTTCTAGGATTATCTTACAGAGTATAAGGGGAAATAAAAATACTCTGTTGTTTTAGAGTCTAATTTGATGCTTTGTCAAAATACCATTGTAAAATTTTAACTTCTAACATTCTGTGATCTAGGATTTTATTTTAAAAATTGGCTAATTATCATGAAGAATTTTGTTTAGCTAAGTTTCAAGTTTCTGATTTTTTTTAAAACATTGTGTTCTATAAAATTATGTTTTATAGAAATCTTTAAAACATTGTCTTTTATGAAAAAAGACAAATATAATCTTAAAAATGGTTTTATTTTTGCCATTATGTAATTTTCAAGAACCACTTGGTGACTATTTTAGAACTAATTATTCTTTATAGTACAGATTATCAATGGTTATATTCTCTGTGCTCTTATTACCCTAAACATTTACTTTACATTGCCTTCCAATTTTAGTAATCTTTAAAAATTCTTAATACAAGTAGTTGGTATGATGCAAGAGAAGGAACTGAGGACTAGAAGTTAGAAGATGTGAATTCTAGTCCTTGTCCACTTGAAGGGGAAGATGCTTTTAGGAAACATCTAATTTGGGGAAGAAGACATGCATACAGTCTTCCACTAAGCACATTTCTCATGTGGTAACTTTACAATAACCCAAATTCTACATAGATCCAGAGTAAAGTTAATTTACTTATTTAAAGGCCATATAGAAGTAAATTGGGATAGCAGTGGTTGATGGGCAGAGAAAAGGAATTCCCAGTTCTTTTTTGGAGGTCCATTTTGGTTCTTTCATGAGGAGTATGTGGTTAGCATCTACCATATAGCAGCACAATCTTTAAAGTTTGGGTTTTTTTAAAAATCTACTTCTTGCCATTTACATTTAAAAAATACTTATCTTGTGTCTGACATATTTATAAGGCCTAGGAAGGTGAGGCATACTTTAGAAGTTGTGACTGACTCAGACAGAGAGAGACAATTGTGAATTCCTCAGTGTATGAAAACATTGAAGAGATTCACTGTTGAAGGGGCAATTTTTCCCACAGTAGAGGCCTTTAAAAGAAATACATTCTTTAAATAGCTTTTTATGTTTGTTTATACATATCTGTTTAACTATGACTACCTATAAGAGCACACTATATATATATATTGAGAAGATACAGCTCTGTTTTGTCCACTATAACTTGACAAATTGTGAAAGAAATTAGCATACTATCAATTATGAGTTTTTAAGCCAAGCATCTGAGAAAGATAACTAACAAAGGCCAAAGCAAGTCTAACACTTTAGATGTAATCTGGAGAAAACAACTTAGAAGGCTTATTTATTTTAAGTGTTTTGGAAATTTTAAAATTTTACTTCAGGTTTCTTTTAGTCATTTATTATATTCTGGAATGTCTGCCAATTTTTCCATGGGATATGAAGCATCCCACAATGCATTAATCAATATATGTAATACTTTTATACTAAATCTTTCATAAAATGTTCTATTTATAACATAAATTTATAGTACTATAGATGCCCAAGAACAAATGAAATTGATTAGTTTCCTAGGTTTGTATGATGGGATATTTGTAAACCATTTATGAAATAGTTCTTTAATATGAATTATGCTCTCAGAAATTTTTTTATGGGTGACCAGATCTGATTAAAATATACACTGAGAATAATCTCTAAGACAATTAGAATGCAGAAGTTGATTATTGTGTTGTCTAACATGAAAAAAATCTATTAGCTATGATTATTAAAGCAACATCAGTCACTTGACATAAGCCAGTTTAATAAAATACCATCACTGGATTTAAATATCTTGCTTTGAAAATATCCATTATTTGCCACTGTAATGATATCCCTTAAGTGTTTTGTTATTTATCTAGCACAGTCTTGTGAGCTGATGTTCTTTTTCTTGATAGTCTCTAACCTTGTTTACAAACAATTACTGGAGCACAATTATTCAGAGCTTTCATTTATAGAATTATTTCAGATAAAAATCTTGTGTTGAATCTTTTGTGCCTACTGTGATGAATCTTTTCACCAGTATCTAATGAAAATTTTTATTTTTCAGGTATTATTCTCCTGGATATTTAGATACGCTTTTGCAGAGTAGACAGCTATCAACCACTTTCTAACTAAGCAAAGTTATGTTTTTCTATTCAAATTCACATCAGAGCGGTTATGAGTAACAGTTGTTAAATAAAGCTCTTTCTAAATATTTGAACCAAGCACACTCTAGATTTATTCAATATGAAATACCTTTAGATAATATTTTCTAAATTTATGTAATAATTTAAAAATTAGTGACTTGAATATATGAGAAGCTATTCATAGTCATTTACACAAGATTTACTCTTAGAGGTAGATTTAAAAAGACATTAAAGAACTTTAAGGCATTAGTTATTGTTCTATTAAAAACCATACATACATACACCCCTCCAATTAGACAGATGAAAGATGGTATTCAAAAACTCATGGCTATTTTGGCTAATTCTTTATAGGTGTAGGCAAGGAAAACTGGCCTTGCAAATTCCACAGTAGGTTATAGAAGGGACATAGTTGAAAGAGGAATCTGATGAGAGAAGTACAGAAAATAGTGAAGTACAGAGACTCTAATGCTGGTGACATAAAGGCATTAACCAAACACATAGATTTTCTGAATAACCTGTCATAGATAGCCTTCAGAACCTAAAAAACTCTCCTTTTCATCCCAAGTTTTCTAAATTCTTTTCTTATCTTACCTAAACTGTTTCTTATCTTTCATGGAGCTGGAGAGGACAGAAGTCAACATTCAGCATTATATGACTGCAGACATTCTTTCCACTTGCATTGAAAGGTTTTTTAGTCTAGCTCTGCTCATGAATAAACAAGGAAGCAGGCATGTAAAACGGGTCATCAGTATTCTTTTGCTCCTGCTTCACTTTCCCAAGTTTCAAAAGTCACATTTTCAGAGATTGATATATAATTTGAAAAGAACACCAAAAGTCTCGGACTTTACAAGCATCTTCGCTCACTTAGGGAGCTAAAATGAGGTGTGGGGGTGGGGGGCGGTGGGTTTCAATAAAATTTTAAATAAAAACAGTGTTAGAACTGTCCTTTTCATTTTTCCTATTTAATATGTTTCTGACCTTGGGGAATATGTGATTAGATTCAGGAACCTTGGTTAGTTGGCATATGTATGTCTTTCGATCTAAAGGGGCCGTCCTTACAGTGATCCCCCCTGGAAGACAGGAGAGCAGATGAATGAGAACCAGGGAGCCCCTAGGCCACGGTGCTTCCCAGGTGGCTGGCCTTCAGGTTTCCTCGTCAGACTCTTTTTATTCTCTCTCAAAAGGAATCTACCCATTTATTTTTGGTATTTTCTGGATACATTTCTGTCATTATTTTGTAACAGTGCATAGCTTTTGGTATCTTTTTAAACACTATTACACCCAAGATTGTTCCTTTTTTGCCTTATATCAGCTAAGGATTGCTTGCAGTTTGACTTTTTAATTCTTCTTTGCACCAATTTGCTTCCTTGCAGTAATTTCTTTGACTTATTGCATAAGAAAATATAATTTTTATTCACAATCTTGTGGCCCTTTTTCCTCTTTCCTGTCTGCCTGCTCGTCTTGTGAACCTTTTAAGACTCTGAGAAAATAAAGGTAGTTTTCATATTTCTTATATTAAGTACTTTTTTTCTTATATGACTATGTTGGTAATGAAGCAACTAGTCTATGCAGGATAAAACCTCCTCTGATGTTATGGGAATGGTGAATTTCCTTTTATGTATTTCTGCCATTGTTTGCTGTACTTGAAAGTTTTTACTTCATACATCATTTCATACTTATCAAATAGTATTAAACTTATATTTATAAGTTTAATATATCCAGGAGTAATAAATATTTAATAGTGTGTGCATGGGTGCTACAATTTGATCATTTACAATTTGGGAAAATTTATACTGCAAGGGGGGACTCCAAAAAGCCCAGAATTATCTTCTAGAGGGCAGGCCAATTGTAGTACAGGCTTCCCCTGTTAGGTGTTCTAGGAACTCATCTGTATCAGTGCACTAGCTGGCGTTGTTGTGAGAGGCTGTGTTCAGCTTCAGTGAATTTTTTTTGAAGACTCTTTCACACGTTTGCCCATTTCATTGCAGTTGATTTACGAGCACACCTGCCCACACCATGCTGAGTGTTCAGCAGTTTTTGACCAAAAATGTCATGACCCCCTTGCCCTACCATCCTAATTCACCCAATCTCCCCTGAGCAACTGTCTTTTGTTTCTCTGGATGAAAAAAGTCCTCAAAGGGAAACTTTTTGCCAACATGCAAGGGATAAAACAAAAAACAGCAGAAGCACAAAAAGGCATCAAAATTGAGTTCAAAACTGTTTTGAGCAATGGAAAAAATGTTTCAAATGGTGTATTTCATCAAATGGAGAGTACTTTGAAGGTGACTGAAGTTTAAAAATGTAATAATAAATACACAATTTTTTATAAATAAATTCTATTTTGAGGGGGTATCTCCCCTTGAATTAAATGTTCCCTGACATAAAACACTTTTAAAGCAAGTGAAACTTTATTTTTTGAAAAGTCCATTATGAGACTTTTTAAAACATAAAAAAAAATTTCTGTTTGTATAGTGTCTCTCATTGATGGCGTTCTTTGATATTTGTCAATTCCAATTCTCTGGGCAGACCAACCTCCGTCCCCACTGTTTCCCCTACTCTCATCATTAAAATTCAGCTATCATTAGGATATCTCATTTAGCTGAACAATTTCTTTTTCAGACTTCAGTTCAGGAATAGAATTGGTTGAATCTTATTGGTTGGCCTGTACATTCAGTTCATCTGTTGTGGAAATACAGAGGCCTATTAGTAGTGCCTGAAAGGGACGTGGAAAATCTGGGTTCTAATCGTAGCTGTTAAGTAAGTAAGAGTGATAATACTTGTTCAGCTTATGAATAAGATGCTTGTGAAAATAACCTGCAATGATGCATGTAACAATTTTGTAAACTGTCCCATTCTGTGCAAGCCAATATGTGATTTATGGGCAATGATAGTCAATGACAGATTACAAGTTTCAGCCCCAAATCAAGCAATTGGGCAGACCAGGTCCCATACTCTTAGATACATGGAGTTTATACCAGATGATTTATAATAAAAAAGCTACATTTTCTGCCCTCATGGAGTTTTCTAATATAAACACATTTACCTGGACATAGGGAATAAGATAGACATAAGACTATAAATGCAAAACAGGTGTATTTCATTTAGTATAAAAAACAAATGACAACCTTATATTTACAGGAGGTTGACCTGTTTTTCTAAACTTGTCTTCTCAAACTACCCCCTTAAAGAAAGGATTAAAGATTTGCTTGTTTCTAAACTTTATTTGAAGTCCTCCTTAATATAAACCCTGATCTTAAACTCCTTGGAAATTAAACATCCAAGATGCCAACTTTAAAAACTAACCTTGAAAGAATGAAGGATTTATCTGTTGTGTTTTCAGATCATCAACACTTTCCTAAAGTTCACAAACCCTGACCTTAAATTCCTGGGTAAGGCTATCTCCAATCTGAGATATCAAGTTTAGAAACTGACCTTGAAAGATTGAAGGATTTATCTGTTGCATTTTCAAATTGCCAACCCTATGATTAAGTTAGGTGCTAGCAAACATTGAGGCTTGTGTATAGTCTGGCTTATTTTGCCACAAAATATTGATTTGTAGCTTATCTGTTTCAGAGATTAAACAGATCAAATGACAGCCTTAACTATAACTATTGCATTTACCAGTCGTTTAAGGGACTTTGAACTTCCAAAATTCATTTGTCTAAAGAATTATTTTTCTAGTAATATTAACACTTACGTTTTGTTTTCAAGAGGTTTTGGTAGGCCATAAAATTTGACACATATTCAGAGGTAATTACTTTAAAGAATAGAGAGTTTTAATGTTTGTAAAAATCAGTAAGTTTTTTTTTCATTTTTAAAATTTAGAATATTTGAAATAAGTAAAAAAGCAAAAACACCACACCAAACCTCACAACCTAGAAAATAATTGTTATTAACAAGTTAATATAATTCCAAGTACTTCTTTGAGCCTTTGTACAGATAGAAAAAAATTTAGAAAAGTGTATTCATGCCATCAATGATATTTTAAAATACAAAGCAAAGGTTATAGCAGTTTGCTTGTTTCACAGAAGATGGAGTTTTAACTTTTTTGTTTATTTTTGTGGGTTCAGAGAAAAGGTTTCCTCAATGATAAATTAGGGATCAATATAAAATATGTATAAATGGCTTGTTTTTATTAATGATTGACTAACATTTGCTACGGAGATTTTAAGCTGAGTGCTATTTATGGCTAATCAGTTTTACAATATTGGATCAAGAATATTATACTAATAATATATCATTCTGCAAGGTGATTTGATATAGATATTTGTACATTTTAAAAAGCCTTTCCCAATGCATATAGAATTTGTGGTAATGCAGTCTTGCTAAAATTTATACTAAAATATAAAATTTATGCATTACTGATGATATTTACTTAATGTATTTTTGATGTAATTTCAATTCTTTGAGACTCAGCTAGTGTACCCTATAATGGGTTCTCTGTATTTTTTAATTTCTGTAGCATGTATGGTTTAAATCATATAAATGTAATTAAAATGCCTAAAAGAATGACATCATTCTCCCATTTTTTCCTTTACTAACTCAAGTATGACCTTCTGGGATGAGTGATATGTGCCCAGCTCTTCAGTCCCTAATGGCAACCAGCCCTGAGGTAAGCACACAACGGAACAGGTAGCAGGCTGGACTGAGCGCCAGGGCAGCAAGGCTCTCTACAGTCAAATCGCCATAAATCCCCAAGCCATAGTTTTCTGAAATATCGTCACTTAGTGCAAAAGAGAACAGACTCTAGAGTCAGAGACTCACCTTAGAATCTCAAAACTACTTCATCCTGACTCATTGGCTCTCTGCAAGTTACTCATAGCACCCACTTCATAGGATCCTGGGGATTAAGCAAGGGCGAGTGAGCGTAGACCCTGGCACACGGTAAGCAGTGCCACCACTAGTTTATATATCATTATGTACATAGGAAAAGGTGTACAGTCCTCAAGACATTTTACTTCCACTTGGCAGAAATTGTTGTAATATCCT